GAACTGCATTTAACACACACAGCTGGGTGTCCTGTATTCGTATACAGCTGGCAAATGAGTCGGAAGGAAGTCTAGATTGAACTTTGAGTACGGCACACCGAAGGTTTACTTCTAAAAAGAATCAGAGAACAAAGCTAAAAGTAGAGCAAAGACAAATAGGTTTAAGCTGCATTGGAAAATTGAAATTTCTAGCTGGTATATGTCATTTTTGGTACATTTATTGAAAGCCATTAACAATATTTATAAAGGTAACAAAATGTAGCCACAAAACTGTACAACTTTCCACCGAATATTTGCGACTGTTAAGATTAGCAGCGCTGGCGGGGCGGCAGCACTGTTAACAGCACAGTGTAGCAGCACAGCCTAACAGCACAACGTAACAGCACAGCATAACAGCCCAGCATAACAGTCTGTTTACGCTCGCCGCTAACAGCATTTGTCTACAGTTACCTGTTAGCGCTCTCCGAAGCGCTCTGAGCGTGGGCTCACGCTCACGCTCGCTCTTACGATCCATACGGCGGCTTTAGCTTGTGGACTAAAAGTGACTGATGATAATTACAGTTCAACCCACCGTTAGAACCTCTAGCTCGCATTCCTGCAGCAATTAGAAACTCCAAAAAGAAATCCAATCCACATTCTCAATCACAGCGCAAATATGCCCTCAAGTACTCTGTATCCAAACAAAATATAGAAACAGTCGGAATGTTGATGTGGTTCGTTCCCCCCTAGCCGATGATCATGATGGGAAGTCACAGGCTGGCTGGCATTTTTTTTTTCTGCACGTTTCCTGATGTTTCCTTTGGCCCAAAATGCTAATGAGCCGCGTCATCGTCTCTCTCTCTGTTTCCCTTCGCCCTCCTCGGCGGCAGTGGCAGTGTGGCACAATTTATAGCACTTCCTGTTGTAGCCAGCAAGTCCTTGGCAGGAGTCCTCCCTTCAATTATATGCAATTTCTTGTGCTTTTTTATTGCATCCCATCGATCCGTGGTGCAGAATGCAGTGTGTGATTAACGGTGTACGAGTGAGTCCTTGACGCTGGTGTCGTGTATGCCACGTCCCCACGTACTCTCCTGTCATGTCCTGTGCGCTATTTGGGTGCTGTCCTGCGCAACATTCTTCGCTCAAACACAAACTATCGCACTTTAATTCATCTTTTATTTACACAAGAGACGAGACGACAAACCCCGCAATGGCGTCACACTGGCGCCCATCAAACAACAACGCGGAAATTATAGCAACAACCGCAGCAGCAGCAGCAGCAAGAGGCGGTGGCAACAACAGCAACAACAGCAACAAGCGGCACAAAATTACAACAATTAAAATATAGGGTGCTGGTGTAAGGGTTGGGGGCAGGAAACCCTAGAGGAGGCTCATGAAGATACGTGGGTGTGTCTGTGCCTGTGTGTGTGCAGCTCCATTTGGTATACACTGTGCCAAATAGGGCGCGCTCTTGGTTGAAGAATTTAATGATGGGTAACCCTTTTTAGTTGCAATTTTTAAATCATTTTGGACTGTTTTCAAGGCATATGTTTTGTACCCATTGCACATATAAATTGTGTCTACCGATGCTCTGACACGTCTGACATTTCTTATTGCTTTCATCTAAACATAAATATCCCTGCCCAAGCTTGAAGCGTCTGAATGGGAGTCTTCCTTTTACTCCTTTTACTCCTTTTCTTATTGCTCATAGTTGGCTTAGGAAAATGGAATTAAATAAACATTTGCTTCAAATTTAACTTACATTTTACCTCTTAGAATTGCGACAGAATTTAAAAGGAAAATTCTGGCATAAATAAGCAAAATTTGCAGCAAAATTGAAACCAAGCCAAGATGCCTTCAAGGCTTCATTCAGTGTACTAAAAATTGTTATAAATGTCCAAGAAGTAGATATTCTGCATTTGTAAATTAAATACTTTCTCCAATTAAAATTTCTCTCATTGGAAATTCGAAATTCCAAGAACAATTACCAGACTTGCACTCCAATTTGTTGTGTTTGCCATCTCGAATTGAACTCACAACATGTGCCTGCAATTATTTGTGGCTCAAACTGTAATTTAATAGCACTTTTGCTGCCCTTTGGGCTATGCACAGTGAAGCTTCTTGTTTGGTAGCAGCACCACAAAATGATTGATTATGCCTCATGCTGGACGTTTCAACTTTAAGTTTCTCTTCTCGCTTGCATTCACATGACAAATGAGTTTCCCTGTGTGGCGTTTCCCCTCTTCAAACTTCAAGTGTGTCTTGTTAATTATTGTCTCGTGTGTGCGATGTTTTCTGTTACACTTTGTTTGTTCCAAAAGGTCCCAGTTGCTCCCAGCATCCACATTAACAGCGACATTGAGCAGCAGCCAGTGACAGCTTTTAATTAAATAATTGACTTGTGTCTGACTCTGACTCTGACTCTGACTCTGACTGACTGTCTCCCTCCCTCCCTTGGCTGCCATTTACGTGCTGCTGCTTTCATCTGTCAATCCAATGAGACAGCAGACACAAGATGCAAGACACAGGAGAGGCTGATAAGTGAGAGTGGGAGCAGAATCAACAGTAACCAGAGAGACACGTTTAATAGAGATGCTGGCCAAATGTCTGTCAGAGATTGGGGTTCATTGAAGCCATTATGGAAAACAAAACAAAACAAAACAAAACAAAAAACTCTCATGAGCTGCATTATTTATGTGGGTAGCTTAGCTTTTGCCTACAATAAGGATTGAAATTTGAAAATTTCTATCATAAATGGAGTGCCCTGAACGGCCATCCAAGGGTTGTCCACCCTGCCGCAAAGATAACGTACATTTTGTGTACGATTTATGATGCCTTTGTTCCTTTGTGTGGCGCACTGAATTGATTTTCGGGGCCAATATCTTAGCGTTAATTGAGTCATAAAGGCAGTCAGTGCGGTTATTGATACCTCATTAGGCAACGCCGATAAACACTGCGTATGCGCAATAATCTCACACAAAACGCAGCTTTAAGCGAGAGTTTTAGGCCACCCGAAAAGTTGATTCTTTGCGATTATTGAAGCCTCTGTCAGCTGCACTGACATTTTCCACTCCAAATTTTTAAACGCTCAACGGGCAGCAGCGGGTGCTTCAGCTTCAGCTCGAGTGGACACAAAAGGCCAAGGGGCAGGCGGGACATGCTGTGTCTCATGCGGGTTAATTAAAATTGCACGATTATCATTTGAAACTCATCTGGTTAGCAGGAGCAGCAGCAGCAGCAGCAGCAGCAGCAGCAGAGAACCCAACAAAATATGTAATTAAATTTGGTGCATTTTTTAACATATTATTTTGTTGGCCATCACGTTGAATGTTTTAACCATAACCAGATTATTCTGGCAGTAAATTAGCTTGCGGTTTTTTAATGATTTTAATTTGATTTAAGTTTGTAATTTAGATTACAAATTAAATGGCAGAAAATGGGCTGATATGTTCAACCAATTGGTGGCAAATTCAAACACCACAAAAGTCAGAGGTATATTTTGGTAGATTTTGTTTCAGTTGCTTCTGCCAAATGTATTTTGTAGAGTTTTCAAATGGGAGTAAAAATCCTGTTTATCCTCTACGTGCATATGAAAAATAGCAGCTCCAAAAAAGAGTTTATCCGGCATTTAAATGTACGAGTATTTGCCTTAAGTTTGCATATCAAACTAGCTAAACTTTAAAACCTTTTGTTGCATTTGTTCCTCTCATTTAATTAGTACCACACAAATTGGTATAAATTTCACAAGTTTCAAACCATCTCAAAGATCAAAATTCTCTACAAACATCCCAGAGTGAACATTTCGCAGCTGTCAACTAATTAAAGTTCCCAGATGTGCTGTTTGCTTGCCCCTTAATCAAGTGGCTAATGATGATTGAGGCGAGGCGCCTTTTCGGCATTGAAATAATAATAGTTTTGAGCGGAGACACGACCTGCACTATTACCCAAAAGGGCGGGCACGTACTGCAAGTGTCTCCTTGTAGCCAAATTTGAGTAAAGTAAAGTCTCAAAGGCGTGGAGAAAGTGAAATGCTTAGGGCCATTCTGGCAAAAGAAAGGGGAGAAACGGGCGAATTCCGGTTGAAGACACGTGACGTCTTAAAAGTGTCGCCATTTTGCTTCATTTGTGGAACGTGACAAGCCAAAAGACATGCCACAAAATATATATGCAAAACGCGAAAATATCATAAAAAATTCGCATTGAAAACGTTGCAAGAGTTGAAGAGACATTTTAAGGGGGGATTGTGCCATTGTGGCATTGATGGATTTCTGATAAATGGACTGCCATTATGAGCAATATGCAAAAATATCCATCCAGCCAAAATGTTCGAGCGAGTGGCGATAAAATCTGAATCAAATAAAGCCAAACAATGTCAGTCCAAACAAATGGCAGCAGCGGGCAGGGGGGACAGTCGACAGGCGAAGCAAATAATTGACAACAGCATGGACACAAAAAACTGCAATTAGAGTCGGGGAGCTAGGACAGGGCAGTGGCAAAGCTGGTGGGGGAAAACAATATTTTCCCATGCCAGAAGTCTGTCAATCGAGAAAAGCCATTTATCCTGCATATATACGAGAGAGTATTGTGCTCCAAAACAATCAGCGAGAGGGAGAGCCATAGAAGTCATATTTGTATACTGGAAACTGTCATCAGTGATGCATTTACATACTTTCTACATTTTTTCTACATTTTACATATTTCGCTGCTTGGGCACTACAAAATTCGTTTAACTCCATTTTTTGTTGGTTATCAATTGCGTTTGGAATATAAGGAATATATTGAGATATTCATTGTTGGATTTAGCCATTTTGATGAGAGTTTTATGGCATTTGCATGGATTTAGCGACACTTTTTGTATAACAAAATTGTATTCCCCAATTTTGCCCTTCGTTCGTTTTGCTAGAAAGACACAAATCAAAATAAAAAGCTAAGAAAAAGTGTATTTTAAAGCTAATTTAAATTGTGCAAAAAATTAAACAAATAAAAAATCAATTCTACGATTATTTTGGCGCACATCGACAAGGCAAAAAGGTTTCCCCCGGTTCGCGCAACAATGCATTTTCGCATATAAATCGACGTAGAGAATATTTGATCTAAAATGGGTGACACTATCGATGAGGCGGCCACGCCGCAGCGACGCGATAAACCGCAAAGTTTGAGCATTAAAGAGGAGGAGGCGTCGGCGTCGCCATCGGCAGCAGCAAGCCCCTCCACCGCGATTCACATTCCCGCCTCGCGCAGTCCGCGCACCAAAATTCGTTTAGCGGAACGCGAACAAAAGCGCGATCACTCGGCGGATGGACTCGGCTCGACGCTCGGTTGTCGCGAAGAGTTTGTGGGCGTCGAGGCAGCGACGCCGCGACGCGAGAGTCTCAACAGCTGCGAAGCAGGTAGCCCGGGCACGCTCTCCACCAGTCTGGGCAAGACGAGTCGACAGAGCTCGAGCAGGTACTCGTCCGGCGTTACGGGCAGCGTCAGTGGGAGCATATTGGGTGGCCTCATGGGCGGCAGCGGCACCACCACCCGCAAGTGCGTCCTGACGCTGGACGGGTACTCCTACGTAATAGGTAAGCAGAGCGACAAAGAAAAGAGTGAACAAAGGAAAGAGAGAGAATGGCAGTGGAATGCAGTTGGTTTAGTGAGGTCAGAAGTGGGGAGTTGTGCAGTTGTCACACACTTTGCCAGCCACAACCACTGTGCAGCGCCTGCCCTTTGTTCGTGGCAGAACAGAAGCCAAAGGAGAGCGGAGTCTTAAGCTCAAGTTTTAATTTCATTCATCCTCTTCTTAGTTCTTCGAATAATACCGTACTTACTTATCCATGTACATGTCTCCTTTAACTTACGACTTTTTTCCATCGTTTCATTGCAGGTAAGTCAACAGAGAAGAGGAAACCAAAAAGCGAAAGCAAAAGCAAAAGCCAAAGAATAAGAAACAGATTGAAGAGCAATTTCTAAGCAAGTGCTGCTGGTGCCGAGGTGGGTCTGCACTTTCCTTCTTGCAGCATTAAAATGAAAATGAAATTGAATTTCCCTAGGAGTTGGGTTATTATAAAAGTTAACTCTGGACCATCACCTGCCCTCATCATTCCAACAACAACAATTCATTTTGGTACACAATTTATGTGCAACTTTTTATGCTGCTTGCATATGCCACAACAATCGCTTAGGAAGAAAAAAAAATAAGCAGAAAATGTAAATGGGAAATGGAAACTTCATTCAAATAAAGGGAAAAGGTGCAAAAGCTGCTCCTGCTGCTGCTGCTGCTGGGGGTCCACTTTTGAGTGGCAGCCTTTGTGGCCCAAGTCTGATAGCAGCAGCAGCCTTCTCTTAGCTTCACATACTACGTACATATATGTATGGTTAGGTATTTGCTCCATGTACAAACAGAAATGTGTTACCCTCTTCTGTTGTGTGTGCATGCCTCCCTCTCATTCATGGCCATGGTCAGTGTCTGTGTTCTTGGCTAATAAACTGCCAGCCAGCCACAATGTAAGCACAATGTGTGTGTCCATTCAAGATTAAAATTCATGAATTGAGTTTTCCCATAAAATGTATTCTTCAGCAGGCACTGATGGAATTCATTAGATATTAGACCACAATATTCCTCAAGCAGTTTCAGTTTTGGCATTTTGAGTGCTTCAGTTGTAAGTTGGTTATGACTGAGGATACGCTTTCGAATTTATAGATTTATCTTTGAGCTTTGTTTATGAATCATTTCCCAGCAGCTTTCCACTTAAGTTCATATATTCTTATCGATTTCAGTCTCAATCTCTTCACACCCTTTACTGCTACATCCATGACTTATCTCTTCTAAGTTATCTAATCAAATAATCATAATCATTATTCCCCCTTTAAACCGCTTTAATTTGTATAATTATTTCATTGAAAAACAATTCGTACTTTTAATTTCTTAATTGATTCATTCAATCCTTTCATGCACAACAAAAAACTTTAGCATTTAGCCAAGACTTCCATTCGATTTGGCAAATTCCTTTAAGCCAAGGTCGTCCCTCGTGCTCTCTGTGGGGCAGGGTGGCGGTGGCTCGTTTACTCGGTCACGTAGCGGCCACAAATCGTGCGGCGATTTTGAGACAATGCCAAGAGCCAAGTCGAAGCCCACACAAGACCCTAGGCCACGCCCCTCGATACCCAATGGGTTGTAGATTTAAGGGGTTAATTCGAATTTGTGTAACAAAAGAAAATTTCACTGCAGGAAGTGCTTGAAGTTTTGTCTCCTCGTGAACCAAACTCAGCTTTAAATAATTCCAAATTAAATCTGATTGCCAGGTATCCCCAAGTCCATAGATCCTTCATTCCTTTTCTTGTCTTTGGCCGAGGTTGTTGTCGTCGGCGCCCGTGCCCCATGCTTTTTGCCTTTCAATTTATGGGCGCTGCAATATTTTTTGCAAACATCCTTAGCATATCCTGCGGCGACAGCGCAGACAGCATTGCAATAAATAGTCAAGTGTTTGACTCGGCTTCAGGGCAGGGCAGATATCCTTTTGTGTATGTCTGTGTCTGTCTGTGTCGATGGCGGAGTGTCCTTCAATTGACATATTACACTTGTTGTTGCTGCGGCCCTGCCGGCTCGCGGCTGTTTTGTCTTTCGCCCTTTTACTGGTTATGGCCCTCGATTTGTCTTGTCTTGTCCGTCATGGGATTGCCTCGTACAAAGTTCTGCTCCGGCCTGGCCTCGCCACATGGCTGATCAAGCGTGGCACCGACAAGTTGAACGCATTGACAGGGACATGGACAGCAAAGCAAAGACCCCCCCGATTGGCAGACGGCAGCTGGTGCTGGTCTCTCTCTCTCTCCTTTTTCACACTGCTCCACCCAATGCTGGAAAGCAAACGGGTTAAGTGGCTCATTTAGTTTGTGGTTCAATGGGTTTTCGTTTTCGTTTTGGGCATTTGACAAATTAAATTTGGCATTCATGAAAAGTCTTGAGAGCATGAAAACACATAAATCTGTGAATAATAAGCAGGAACTGAAAGTAGGGATTATATTTGAACTTTTTTAGCCAAAAGAATGCTCTGAGAATAATCTACGAAAATTAAAATAAGCAAAGTCCATTTTTAGATTACTTTTTCCCACAATTTGCATCTGAGTTCGAAGCCAAAAAACTCCGAATCGGTAGCTAAAACCGATAAGTTAATGCTTTAAAAGAAAAGTTAAGGAACAAATCTATAAAGACACGAGTATTTACTCATCTAAACCACCAAACATAAGTTTACCATTCATAAATACATAAAACTCAGCCACAGCAAGTTGGATTCCCCTTCAAGCTGCCTTCAAGCTCTCCTCAAACGGACTCTAACCCGTTGCATACCCTCAGGCGCTGGTGTGACCGCATAACTCACATGCCAGAGAGCTCTGGCTTGACCTTACCAAGCGAACGCTTTGTTCTTTTGGCTTTTGGCTGGCCAAAAAGCGACAAGGAAATTTCATCAAAATTTGCATAAATTCCGCTCAGACACACAGAAAACGTACAGAAATTCTTTTTCGAAATGCTCAAAGTATGCGACAAAAGGCCACGCATAAAATTTTATTGGTAAAAAAGTTGGCGGCAGCTTCCAACGAGCCCGAGGCAGGACTTTAAGGGATAATATATGCAACTCAGTCTCCCTCTCTCCTTACTCTTTTATGGCAATGGCCTCTCAATTGGCTATCACTTTGGCTTAGCTCTCGGCGGACCAACTTCTTCTTTCAAGTGTCAGCGACAGCCGTAATAATAAAAGGAAGCAGCAGCCAGCAGAAAAAAAAGGCTTAAAATCAATTTTCGTTAAACCCTTTCGAGAGGGGACACACAGACACACACTCGCATGGCCATAAAACTGATTACCAATGGCCCGAACGTTGGGAAATTTTTTAATTAAAAACAGTTAAAACTGGCGCCAACGCTGCCGCTTTATGTCAGCCAGCAGCCGCAGCCATAGCCACAGCAAGAGAAGAGCAAAAACGACCACGGGATACCCCTCTGGGATTTATGTGTGTTCTGTCTGCTGGTGCCACAAATATGCCACAGAAATACACCCTAGAAAAATGTTGTCTGCCAGTAACAGCACCAGACCCGAAGCCAGAAAAGGATCCCCCAGTGCTGCTCCTCCTGCTGCTGCTGTGGCATTAAGGTGCACAGCCTCGAGCGGCTCTGTCTATTCTGTCAGAGATTTTGCAACATGTTTGGCTACAATTTGGCTAACTAGCACAAAGGCTTAAACACACGCCCGGCCAGCTTCTCGTTTGTTTTGCCTGCTCTCCGATGTCAACGTTGCGTCGTTGTCCTGACAATTTCGAGAGGTGTTCCTCCTGCTCCTGCCATAATTTGCAACGCAATTTTGGTCTGCCTTCAAGTGAAGGTTCACTCAGCAGCAAAAATCTGTTCAGTTTGCCCAGCGAAAATGTTTTTCTTTCGGAACTTAAATGCAATTTTAAACTTTTTAAGTGCTAACCAAAAAAAGGAGCTTGTAAATTACCGAGAAAACAAGATTTACTTTATATTTTGTTGAAGAACTTTTGCAGGATTTCAATTTCAAAGCTACTTAAATAAAGATATATATTTCTGGGAGTGCTACAAAATATTTTTAGATAGAACATTTTCTGTTTGTCTATATCCAAAACTTGTTCTGCAGTGTACTTTTGCTGCCTGTTGTCTTTGACTGTTTGCGCTTGGGTTAATTTGCAGGCACTTTGCTTGCCGTTTGCCCTTCCATTGCTCTTCTTTCCTTCTCCTTCTCCCTTTTCTCTTTGCTGCTGCTGCTGCTGCTTCTGTCATCAACTGGCAATCAGTGGCCCAACTAGGCAGCCGCCATCCAATCCATTCAAGGCCCAAGTCCTGTCTCTTATGCTCAGGCATCAATGCGTTACATTTGAGGCGAAACTACTTTTATTTGAATGCGGCGCAAACAAATTGAATTGCTGACACTTTTTTTGTGCCCAGCTTCATAGTGAACGGTAAAAGCGTGCTGGCTGTCTGTCGCCTTCCACGCTCTCTCGCTGCTCACTCTCTCTCTCTCTCTCTCTCTCTCTGCCGCTTTGGCCTTGCACTCTCCGCCGCTTTTGTGTTGCCCTCTCTGCCGCTTGTGGACTGCGCGCTCTCTCCCACTTTTCGGTTTGCTCTCTCTCTCTCTCTCCTCCTCTTTTGTGCTTGCACTACTTTGCCCTTTTGGGGGTGGCACTTGATAATTTATCAAGTTTGTTCACGTTCAAGAGCAGAGTGCAGAATGCAGTTCACTGCTGCAAAGTTGCTGACAAAGCGCTTCGGCTCTAAGCACGGATTTGTAAAGTGATATGGAGGAATGGGCGTGGGAACGTGGAAGGGGAATGCGAATGCAGTAGTTGTCGCAGCGGGATAATGCTTACATTTATCTGCCATAACAGAGAGTGTCAAATGCTTAAGCGGAGTCCTCGCTGTTTGAACAGCATGTGGGGGAGATCGAAACTTGGACATTTTATGGAGCAAGAGAGAAAGATGAAAAGAGTGAGACAGTTTAGATTGATGATTGCAGCTTAAAAATAATTTGTACACTTATAGATGGATGATTTAAGCTTGAAAGTAGCTTGTGCAACA